AGCAGGAACCCAGATCTACAGACTCACAAAGACCATTCCAGCTCTTCAGAGACTGAACTCAGTGAGGATTATGAAGAGGACCAGGATGTGGACTATCAACACAACAAGAGAGTGATAAAAACTGGAGAGACTTGCAGCAATGCTCAGACTGGTGACAAACAATTTCCTTGTGGTGTTTGTGGACAAAGATTTAACCACAGGTCGAGTGTAACCACCCACATGAGAATCCACACGGGAGATAAACCGTTTTGTTGTGAAGTTTGTGGACAAAGGTTTAGGCAAAAGCCGAGTTTAAACACCCATAAGAGAATCCACACTGGAGACAGACCGTTCCCTTGTCATGTTTGTGGACATAAATTTAGGCAGAAGTCTACTTTGAGCTCGCACATGAAAATTCATACAAGAGACAAACCATTTTGTTGTGATGTTTGTGGACAAAGATTTGCACATAAACATAGTTTGATCAAACACATGAGGATCCACACAGGGGACAAACCATTTCATTGTGATATCTGTGCACACAAGTTTTGTCATAAGTCAAGTTTGAACTTACACATGAGAGTCCACACAGGAGACAAACCATTTACCTGTGAAGTTTGTGGACAACAATTTAGTCATAAATCAAGTTTAATATTACACATAAGAATCCACACCGGAGACAAACCATTTCCTTGTGATATTTGTGGACAAAGTTTCAGCCGAAAGTCTTATAAAGACTCCCACATGAGAATTCACACAGGAGACAAACCGTATCCTTGTGATGTTTGTGGACACAGATTTACGCAAAAGTCAACTTTGAATTCACATATTAAAATTCACACAGGACAAAATCGTTTAGCTGTAAAAAACACAAGAGCTCCTAACGATCCACATGAGTTCACACAGAATTAAATACACAGTTTCAATGTTTATTTATTAGCTTATGTTGTGAGGAAATGTGGTCTCAGATGTCACAGTTACTGTTTTTATATGTTTTTTTTTTTGTAGTCTTTAAAAATTATGGCTGTCATCATGCAATGTCAAAAGTACAAATATTTTTATAGGAAATATAAAATAATTTTATAACTCAATGTTAATGATTAAGTAGAAATTCATTTTCCCACGTTCTTTAAATCCATCTTAGTCCCTCCCACTCCCAGCTGGAAGCCCCGCCCCCTTCCCCTGTTTGTTATCAAACTACAGTCTGAGCATGGAGGTGTATAAAACTACTGGACGGAGCGGCAAACCTACTGTAGAAGCTAAGAGTCTGGATTTACCATCACTGTACATTGTGACAACATATAGTGAACAGAAGTCAGCAGATTTGATCTGATTTAGCTCAATGTGAGCTGACCAGAGCTGAAGCTAATAATATAACAGTTTAAAATTAAAATAATCTTATAAAGTTGATATAATCAATGTTTTTTATTGAACTAGTTATCAGATATTAGCTTTTGTGGCATATTGTTATACAGATTGTTGCACTCTGCTGAATCATGCAACAATTTAACACAAACTATTAAATATTATAAACTGATTTGTAAGTGTAAAATAATATCTGTGGGGCTCAGCCAGGGTTATTTAAGTCTATGAGTCTGAGTGACTTTGTGTTCCAGAGCAAGGAAAATMGGAAATAATATCACCCAATGTATAGAAAATAATAATTAATTAGTGAAGTGAATATTTAGCTTTACATACTATTTTTGTTTGGTTTTGGAAATCTTGATATGAAATCATGTCCATAAAACTTCTAATTGCTGTAATAATACTTATATCTGTAACAAAGTTGTAGTCAACTTGAACATAATAATCATAATAAAAATTCCATAAAAATAGAAAATCTGTATTGTGAAGCTGATGTGTTACAAAAGGGTTAAAGTTCTGTTATCTCCACCACTTTCTCAGTTTGTAAATATGAGGAACAACATAAGATGAGATAAACCTTTATTGTCACTGTACAAAGCACAATGAAATTACAGTTCAGAACACACATTCACAAGAACACAAAACATAACCAAACAACTTATCCAATCCCATTAGTTTTTTTTTTCAAACAGTTTTAAACCACATAAACAATATGGCATTGACGAGGGCAGCTAAGCGCTGTCAGGACCCCTCACCTTTCATGTAAGTAAGTGGCTTAGCCAACTAGCTTAACTAGCTGGCTATCGACTGTCTGGCGGAACAGAATAAACAAAACAAAATATACTTTCATTCAGTTAACAAACCCAGCGGAATTGTTCGCCTAATTTGTAAGGTGTTTTAATGGTTTTAATGTTAAATTTAGTCTAACGTGGTGAAACTTAATCTTGTTGATAAGCTAGCTAGCTT